AAATTAATTGATCAGGATCGGATAGACTAACCCTAAATGTGTATCGCAGATTTCTAATTGCAACACAACTTTTTTTATTTATCCGATACTTTTGATTGGTGTAAATGAATACTGGATAAAATATATTCGAGACAAGAGTATAACATGGACGACGCTGGTAATGAAAAACGTCCGGTTTGCACTAACTAACATCAGTCTAAAAATAGGGTATAACAATTTTTTATATTGACCATTTAGGGATTGCTTAAATAATCTTTTATTTCTTTGGATTTACACTTACGTACATATTTAAATATTTGTTCCGATTTCTTTCATCTAATTTCCAAGGAATATTTTTCAAAATGATAAGGGAATTTAATACGTATAGAGATGTTGTATATGGAAACGAATTTAATTGGAATTGGGATTTCTTAATAAATTTAGAGCTGAATTTGTATATAACCCTACCTACACTCTAATTCTAAAATCCCAAAGAACTCCAAATCCACTTAAATTTTATTCCCACTTACATGTATATATCTAAAATTAATAAGCGTACGATATTTGGTGGATATCACAACGTAATCAACGACGAGGGCGCAGTCACAAGATCCACGACCTATCCTCGACCTCCTGAACAATCCATGCAATTTATGCAAAGTAAATTGTACAATTTTTTTTCTTCCTGCCATTCGTTTGTATTTGCTATTCATATTTTGACAAAAAAATAAAAACTGGTCTTTATGTTGATAGTACAAGTAAAAAGAAAACACGATAAACAAATAATTACAACTCATTCTCGTTATAGTGAAGTTCTCGACTGGGATGAGAATCGATTTTCAAATTTTAAAAACTTATCATTATAGAATCGATTTTTTCAGTAGTTATTTCATAGCTATTTTGAAAATTCCAATAATTAATACCTCGAACAGAGAAAAAAAATCATCACTATAGCCTGTATCGAGAGAATATAAATAATCAGCTCTCTCCATAACGAACCACTGGTTCTTGACGTAAGAAAAAGTTTGTATATAAAATTAATATGTTTTCTTAAGAACCAACCATAACTCTTTATACCGAATTAATATAAAATTTAAAAATTCTTATTACATTATATCCAGAGCTCATTATAGAGATGTTCGTTATAAAGAGAGTTGACTTTATACTGTATCTAGTTTAATAATTCCGTAATTCAAAATTTTTCATCATATTGAATCTTCATTATGTCGAGAGATTTGTTCTTAATCGTGGATATATTCTAAAATTCTACAATATTTTATTGCTTCATTTGAACTATTTTGTTTGTGTTGATTTGTTTATGAATTACACTGAAGCTTTCTAGAACGATGCACATAACAAACTGTAAAGTTTTAAATTTATATATGCTGAGTTTGGAAGTGTAGATTTTGTATATTCTATGACTGTATGCTTCTATATCATTTGTGTAATTTAATTCAAGCTTTACAGTTCATTTTAAATCTGTTCGTGATTTTTCAAGTTATACTCAAATACGCTTAACTATTTATCCTAAATTAGTAGTACGTAATAGTTTTGTTTTTTAAAAGGCAATTAAGGTTCTTTTCAAAACTAAAAAAAAGGAATTGATAAAGGCACGAAAAATAATAACGATATTTAAATTTTCCGGAAATTATACTTATCATGTGACTGCACCTAGATTGGTTTAAAATATACTGTATACATTATTATACCATACAGTACACAATACCGTACATAATCTCTATACGTATTCCGACATAATTCGGCTCAGTATTATTTAAAAATTCTGCTATTGGTTTTGTAGAAGGTTACTGATTTTGCATTTGGAAAACTTTGTTATTAGTTTTGAAGATACCACTTCCAATTGAATAACATGATTACTATGTAAGCTATTATTCTAAATATTGATATCCGTTTTGTTTATTAGGACAAATTTGAAAGATAGCATTGGATTAACGATGTGAACAATTTTATAACGTTCGCTCTATTATTATTGGTGTTATGCAAATAAATATGTTTCACACAGTTATTGTGCATCTAGAGCTAACATTTTTAAGTAAATAAAATTTATGTAATTCGATAATTTATGGTTTTTTTTTTTTTTTTTTTACATAAATTTGTCTCTAAACTCTGCTTACAGTTCTTAGGAATGATTGCAATCAAAGAAGCAGTTAAAGAAGTGTTCGATGAGTGTGGGGTATTCTAGCAACTAGCAAGCATCAATGTTTTAACAAGCATACCACGTGCATACCTACGAAAATGAACTTGTAGTATATGATGTACAAGATACATGAAAGAGTACGTACAAAACCAAATACAGATATTAAACAAACTTGCAGCAGTATTTAAATTTGCGTTATTGAATTTAATTAACAGTAATTTACAGTAATTTATAATCTGCAGCACTCATTATATGCTGATTTTTATTGTGATATATAATACTATAGTTATGTATAAAAGCAAAAGTGTGTATGATCCCGTCATTAGCATCAAATTCAGTCTAAAAAAGACCATTTATTTTATTTAATATACAATAATTAATCGAGCGTTTTTAACCTATTTTATAAAGTCTTATTTTACAATTTTGCGTACGTGTCTGGGTATGTTACGAAATTTATTAATTATTTCGTGACTTACAAAATCAGAGAAATTTCTTTTCTTGGCAAGCGATTGTATGAAATTTTTAAATTATAATACGTTTGTTCACTCTTTATTGCTTGTCACCATTTTTTGAACTTAATAGTAAATTATCATATATTACTATATCATCCAGGTGTCTTTTAAAATGCTATGTATTTTATATGTAATTTTTCTATCAATAATTACCCAAATATCCGCGCAATGTATTGATCATCAATCCGAAATTGCGGTTTACGTTGATTGCAAATATGAGACTCGTAATTTAAAAGACTTCGTTGAACGAGGTACAGATGCATTTTCAAAAAAAAATATGCTTGAAGTTGTAGAGTTCAAATGTGATAGCAATAATACTGAGCTCTGTGGTAAAGTAAGGAATGCATTTGAAATTGCCGGTCTGATTATTTCAAAAGCGTTCAAATTCCGTGCTCCAATCCTTGTAAATGCTTCATTTGTCAATTTTTGCAACAACTTTAAAGTATGTGGAAAATCTCAAGACGATGTTCCCATTGGTATGTCATTAAATCTCTGAATTTCATCAAAGTACAATGAATCAATAACTTAATGAATCAATGAATCGTATATTATTATTATTTTTTTTTTAAAAGGCGGTTCTAAACCAGCTAGGTACATCTTGATGAAAGACGATGATGGTGTTGAAAGACTATATCCACAAGCACTCGTAAAACAATTTAAAATAAAAAAATGTCCTCAATTTGCCCCTTTTGATATTAAGGCTGATTTTAATTCTGCAGCTAATTGGTGGTTCAAATCTGATGGTCAACCAATTCAAGGAAAGCAGAGAGATTTTATTGAAATTATTCTGCACGAATATTTTCACGGATTGGGCTTCAGAAGGTAAACTAAATATTGGACTATATATATATATATATATATATATGTTTATATATATGTATTATGAAATAATAATGCTTCATAGGTATTAATTTTTTGAATGTTTAGCAATTGGGATGATTGGTCAAATTCACAAGCTCTATACCCATTACCAACTTTCCGATTGGATCCACAGAATTCCAGTTTATTAATATTTGATGGATTTAAGGAGACTGCATTCGATAAATATGTAGTATTACTTCCAAGCAAAAAACATATATCAAAATTTAATGCTCAATTGAACTTATTCGCTGGTGGACCTGGTGCCAAATTCCAAAACAAATCTGATTTTGATTTACAATTTCGTAATTCCACTCAATACAATGAAATTGCAAAGAAAATGTTTAATATTTCTCAAACTGCTAAATCAATGGGATTCCTACCTCGTTATAAAAAAAATGCAAAAAAGGCTGTCATACTTGAAACTAGTTTAATACCATACATTCGTGGTTCTAGTATATCTCATGTGGACTTTATGACTTACGTAAATACTAGCGATTTTTTGATGAGATATAGTAATAATTGGTTAGATACTTTGGATGGATGTGTAACTAAAGGTGGAAAGTCTTCCTATGGTCCTATTGGGCCCCGTTTAAGATCAATTATGGAATCACTTGGGTATGTTTAAATATTTCATTAAACTTGTCTTTTTATTATAAATATAATCATTTTAATTATTATGCTATGTTGTTTGACTTGTAGTTATGCAACTGCCCGCCATCCAAAACCGTACAGACCCACTCTTACTAATATTACACGAGGTTATCTTGCTGCTGATTCAAATCAGATAACATCCTAATTACATTTAGCTAAGGTACACACAAGTAATATAAGATTATTTTATTTTAGACTTTTATTTAAAAAAAAATTGTTTTACATATTAATTATACTAATTGGCTATAATATTTACATATGCCGAATTTTACAGAAGTTGTCTAAAATAGAATAAATAAAAATATTTAGATTTTTATAGCTTTTTCAAAATCAAATTAATAAAAAACCAATATTTTTTAAAAAATTTATTTTTTAAAAGTTATTTTACTTTTAAAATGGCTTATTTATTAATAGAATTTTTATTAAAGCAAATTAAAAATAGCTACAAAAATATTAGTATATTTTGTATATTGGTATACTATAAGTAATAAAAATTTTAATAATATCAAGTTATATAATCGAAAATATAATATTTTGTTTTATTGATCTATCTAGCTAGCTTAATTTTGTTTACTTAATAATAGCTTTTGTTTTAATACTATAAATTGTTTTAATTTATTTTTTTATACAGTGTAGCAACTTAGTTCCAACCAATAAAAATTTTTAATAGCCAAATTTCATATTTAATTATAAAAATACTATAACTTCAACCTGTTATAACTTTTTTATAGATAGATTTAAAAAAAATTTAAGAACTTAGAAGTGTTTAACTTGTTTTGATTTAACATTTTAATATAATATTTTTTGGTTGTTATTTTTTTAAAAAAAAATTAGCAATTTAAATTAAAGATTTACTAAATATTAGCCTGGCTGCTTAAACATCAGCCTATATAAATTTTATAATTTGGTGCTGCACTATGATGCACTTGTTATTACATGATTATATATTATAAACCAAAGCCATGTGCCATTAAATTTAGATATCAAAAATATAACTTTTTTTTTTTTTTTTTTGGTGTTCAGGTGGGATCTTGCCCATGACTTTATTTATTGTTAATACTTTCATTACATGTATTACTACATTTTCGTATTTACATATATCAAGTACACTAAGCTCAGACCTGGATCCTATTGGTTACCTATGCTCTGGCCGAAACCGTCACTTGCATGATAGGTGTCTCTATCCACTATTTGGCCACCGATTCATTATCTGCGATCCAAACCTACCGGAGTGGTACATCCTTATGGATAGCACTCACCCAGTATTTTTTCACCCTTCACTAGTTCTATTTTGGTATACTTCCCTATGACGTCATTCTCCGCATCTCTCATACCACTTATACCTAAGCTCCTAAATTTGGTAGTCTTTTTTGGGATATGGTCTCGTAGCCTCAAGGGTTACTTCTAATCTTGGTTATCTTCAGCTAGTCTGCTCAGATAGTATCACGAAGAGGAACTCATGCTAGCCCAGGTTAAGCCTCGTTATTAATACCTAATTTAGTTAGTATGCTGCTGATTCCCATTACCTTTATAAATAGATACTCCCATGTATTAGTGCAGGCTTGCTGTATTGTGTTATAGATTACCCCATAACTTCCAGATTGCGGGTTTCGTATTACTTCTCTTCCATAGTTTGAGCTATGGTGTTCTGGTGCCCTGACATTTTAGGTTACAAAGCTCTAGGGGTCTAGACCTAGTTGTGACTTGCGGTCTGTAATACTTCCAATTTCAGTATTTGGTATTCCTTATCAATTTCTGGTATACAAACTCGATTTGTATAATTGTACTACCAGCCCGGTGAATCCAGCCATTTCGAGTTTTTATTACGTATTCTGAGTTTCAGCCTTCTCGCTCTGTCTTTACAGATTTCTTCCTTAATAGGCCAAGTGGCTTGGGGCTAGAGGTGCTTCTGAACTCTGAATAGACCAAGTCGTTCTTGTGTTCACCACTTTTCTCACTACTCCAGTTTTGTTACCATCATATCACTCTCCCAATCAAGTACCCCAACTGCTAGGGATGTTGGTGCTGCCCCGGTCACTCCTAATCGAAGACTAATATGCGTAACCTTTCATGTAACAGAACTTTCTATGACCCGTTATATGTAGTGCCACCACTTCACGATTGGACCTCCTTCCGGGAATTTCCTTTTCTGGTTTCGTACTTGTACTTGGACTTAACCACAGGGCTCCGCATTCAATTATGGCCCCTTATTGGGTTACAGAAGCTAAAAATCCTAAGATTTTGCCTCTAGCCCAACTTGAACTGTCAATCTAGTCTGTGGGGATTTGGCAGCTTAACCGCTAAGCTATAGAGCCCAAACCCTTCAAAAAATATAACTTATACAACACATAATCTATATATTAATTGATTATCCACCAGTTAATCAGAAAATTTTCTTATTAAAATGTGCCGCAGATCACTTATAGCACTACGTCAAATTGAAATTTTTAGCTTATAAGTAAGGTTATAAAATGTTTAAACGAATGTGATATTAAAATAGTACAAATGATAAAATAATACCGTAAGCTTCTAATTATAAAATTATTAGATATCGATCTTTTTTTGGAGAACTTTACTCAGTAAGCACACAGCATTTACTAAGTAAAGCCCTATATTAATTAGATATCAAGGTAATTCATAATACGTCTTTTTAGCTTATTTTACACTAATTTTTTTTTATTTGGATTTTTTAGACTTAAAAATACAGATTTGACAAATTGTTTACTATTTCTACGTTGCAATGGTACGAAACTTAAATATAGTAGATTCTAATATATGGTGATCATACAAAGGTTTGTATTACATAAACTTCTTTTTTTTTTATGGTCGTTGTTCTAGTGCTGTCTAGGTGTATTTGTTTTTAAAAGTAGAAAACCGACACGCAACGTGAAAGAAACTCACTGACTTTGGATCTTGGGCGTAATCTTGGATCTGAAGGTGAAAAGAGTTAGCAAACGCAATATACAAGAACAATGCTCTTTGCAGGTGTACTTTTCAAGAATGCTATATTGATCTTGTTAGATTCTAGATGGTAAGTAATAACAACTTTGGATCATTAGATAAAAAAGCATTATTAGCATGCACTTCGCAAGAACACCACACTAACTTGTTTGTTTGGATTAGATATTAGGGAAAAGTGTTTTTGTATTTTAGGCCTAGAACCGGTATTGGTTTTGAAATCTGATAAAAATGTGCAAACTACAGCCAGGTATAACAAATCTAACGCACATATGACTCCAGAAAACAATACAAGAACAGACAAGTGGAAATTAAGATATCGATGATTGCATTAAAGAACTTTAACTTAAAGCACATGAAGAGGTAATTGAATAGATTCTTTTAATAGATAGTTAATATCCAAAATATTAGTGAGATAGAATATGATATCTAAATATAAATTAGGTTAATACACATTTACATATATGATCATATAAAGTGAAGTTTAAAATAGATTACAAAATTTATTAGATAAGTTCAGAGAAGTAAGTTAAAATACCTGGGTATTATGGGTTTGGGTCAAAATCCCGACAAGCGAAATCCTGACAGGTCATAATCCCGACAAAAAAATCCCGACAGCAAAAATCCCGACATCCCGCAAATTAAAAATTTTTATAAAAAAAAA